TAAAAAGAATTCCCATGTTTTTCCATAAATATAAATGTAAACAATAATTCTCAGAAGTATTCTATTTTAGAAGGTTGCCTATCTAATATATTACTTTATCTATCTGTGTACTTACTAATAATTGCCTATTAAAGACATTTAGCAAGTTTTGAATTTACAGATCTATTTTTTTCAAGTAATTCCTCCTCAAACATGTTATCTCCCATTTATTAGTCTAGTAATACTTTCATTTATTGCCCTAGAAGTGCATAGCATTTTGCTCCTGAACTCCTTACATGCTTTATCTTACTTAGTTCTGTTTAAGACAAAGAAAGAGAAGCTCAGAGAGAGACTGAACTGAAAGCATTCTGGGGCTGTAAAGCCAGCACCTGCATGCAGGGTCCGAGCTTCCAAGTGTCACAGTTGTTTTGACAGTGCTTCATCTGACAAAATAAACATCTTTCTTTTCTAAGTGTATATTTTTTCACTTCAGTGCCATTTTAAACTGTTAATATTCTTCCATTTTCATCTTGGTCAGCTTTTTTACCTGAAAAAATATTTAATACAGAAATTGAAAGTATCTAAAAGATGGATTTGATGTTTTTAAAAAAGTTTATTATTTTAAATTTCTGAATATGTCATTTTAAAATGCTAACAATTCCTCAGAATTTTACCACATAAAATGTTGTGTTGTATCTGGGCATAAAGAGAAAATACTACTTGGTAGCCGTTATGATCTATACAAATTGTACAAAGAAAAAACAACAGGAAAGGAAAAATAAAATAAGCCATGTTAATAAGCCTTCATTAATGGTAAATAAGAGTTACTGTTTAAAGAATATATTTTTAACTTAGCCTAGAAGATAAAGACAAAGGTCATCTATATATATGCATCTCTACACTGAACCACTTTATGTTGACATTTTCATTGGCTTTCATGTAAACTTTATGAAAGAACAGATTCTTAATTTGCCTCATCTCAATTTTATACCACCTGATGACCTAGAATTATTTCATCCAAAGATTTTGAGGGAATAAATCCTTTTGCATATTTTAATTAATACTCAACTCCCCCACCTCCAGTCAACTTCATTTATTTCCAAAGTGTTATTCAGGTGAGTTCATATTAATTGATTGGTAGATAGGTCTTACATCAGTCATTATTTACTAATCATTTAGATTTTTAAAATATTCTATTTAAAAAATTTTTAACAATGTAGAATGGAGGTATCACAATCCTCTAATTTATATAGATCTCTATTCTACAATGTAATCTTTTAAATACAAAAATAAGACCTCTGTAGACCTGTTTCTTTTTAGAAACCCCTTTTCCAAGCACTTGACCATATCCAACTACTATCAAGTTAACATTAAAAAACGCTGAAATCATATGTATAGTTATTTGAAGTATTTTCCCTTGCTATGTTCAACTTCTCCATGATTTCAAAAAAAAAATAATCTTTTAGTCTGAAAATTCAAGTCAAACTAGTTGTTCATTGTTATTACAAGTGAAACATTCTTAAGTTTCTTAACAAATAAACCGTCTTGGTAAAAAATTAACTTTTTCTTTTTTTTTAACTCTAGAAAGTTCTGAAAAGCAACAAACTGCCTAAACAAAATGTATATAACATTAAGGCAGCTGAAACTACTGACACTCTACACAGGTTTATCCTGTGAGAAAAATTCTCCCTGGCAGCATCACCTTAGGAAATAAGGATGGCTTTGTTATGCACACTTAAAATATTAATATACGGGGGGGGCTACTTTATATCTCTATCTACTTTATATCTACTGTCATTACAACTGGGTAAAAAAAAAAAGTCTACCTCTCCCATTTTAAAACATTTTCAGTTTGAAATGATACATTTTTTCATGGGGCCTGTATAAGCAAAGAGCTTAATTCTAAGCGCAAGTAACTAGTTTTATATAAGATACATAACCTGGAGATATAAACTTAATTCTATAAATAATTTCATTGGATTTATATAGTAGTTTCGTGTTAGATACAGCATACCTCAAACGCCTACCTCACATTAAAGCAGGCAGCGGTCCGCCCACATGAATCTGCTGGTGCTACTACTGCTTTTAACAGAGAAGCTGGAATTGTGTCATTGTGAGAGAAGCGGCGTGTTCGGTGTTGCAGCGGCTCCTAGGGCTCAGCTGTCATTTGGGGGCTTCAGTGGGGGACAGACGTTTGGTTGGGGGACGCTCATCTCTAAGGAGGCCATGCGCAGGCCCTAGGCACGCACACTTACAGGCTATTTTGCTCTGAGCCCACCACGCCGGGAGGCGTCTGAGAGCTACCGGCCGAGGCTAGCACGCAGGCCGCAAGGGGCGCGGGGACCCGGGAGCCCAGGATCCGGGAGCCCGGCACAGGGCCGAGGCCGCGGCGGCACGGCCGCTTTGGGGAAACCGCTGCCGCGCGCCACTGGACGCAGGCCCACAGGCCCAGGCCGCGGTTTTCCCAGCCCCGCCGCCGTTGCCAAGGCGACCGCCGCCGTAGGGTCTCGTGGCGGGCTCCGCCCCTCGGCCAATCGGACCGGCGCTCGCCCGATCCCAGATTCTCTTTGTTCCGCAGCCATTTCAGGCCCCGGACGGGAGGCAGCGCCGCTACGGCAGAAGGCCCGAGCGCCGGAGGCCTCTGGGATGGTGTGGGACCGGGTAGGTGGCGTGACGGTGCGTGGCCGGGAGTGGAGGGGCGGGAGCGGAGCCCGGGAGCTCCTAAGCAGCCTACTGCGCCGAGCCGAGACCGCCTGGCGGCCCACCCTCCGGGGCCTGGGCCCGGCCGTTTGGATCCCGCCGACGGCGGCGCGGTTCTAAGCCCTACAGCTGCCGCCCCTGGCGCCCTGTGGGACCGGGACGGGGACGGCGGCGGCTTCTGGGGTACGAGGTCGGGTCCTGGAGCAGGTGAGCGGTCGCGGGGAGGAAGGGCAGCTCTGCCTGTCAAGCCGTGACGTCTGAGAGCCCTGGGCTGCGGCAGCCGCGGCCTGGACGGTACCTCCCGCCGCTTCTGGCCGCTCTGCGCTGTCCGAGATCAGCCGGTCTTTGTCCCTCCGCCGCCTGGGCCCGCGGTCCAGACCCAGGCACACTTGGCTCCGCACTCGGGCTGATCCTTGCGCCTTGGGGCCTGCTGGCCTCGGGATGTGCTTACATAATTTTAGTGTGTGTAACTACGGGTTTTGCTCGTCTCGCCTCCACTCCTATCCGTTCACGCCAACAGGGAACGGCTTCCGAGAAACAAACCCGTTAGCACAATCAAACTGGTTTTAGAAAGGCTTTCTTCCCTTTAGAAATTATCTCGTGTCGTTTAATGATTTTTTTTTAAATCCCGTGGGTTTTGCAAGGATTGTTTACAGTTTCGATTTGTTATTCTAGTCACAACTCAGCAGATTAAAAATGTAGAAACTGAAGTTGGCGGCGACCCACGAATTGGGACAGTTGTATTAAGCTTAGTAGTTCTGCTTAAAACAACGGTGACTTCACTGATGAGTACATAAGCAGTACTTTTTCCCCTTTGAAGAAAGGTGCTTCTTAAATGGAAGATGTTTTGTGGAATTGGTATTTAGAACTGATCAGGTTGTAAAATACTGGTCCAGATGTGCTCATTTTTTGTATACCAAAATTTCCTGCTGGATGTTGTTTCCCTACCAAAATTTTCGCATTAGAATAGTAAGGACGTTTTTAATGAAGTAGAGGAGGTGAATTCAGTATTTTGGGAAAGGATTATGTTTTCCACTTCTCCCCTACCCTGCATCCCAGTTATTTCCAAGAATGGCCCTCCCCGTTGAAAATTTGGAACTGCAAAAGAAAAACATTAGTTTGAAGGTGCGTATTTCTTTTTAAATCTTTGACATATGCAGTGTGTAAGTATACAGCAGTTTGGCAGTAGGATTTTTCTTAAGTGATTTTAATGTACGCCTGTTGCAGTCTTTTTTCATTGTCCTTTTCTAAAGGGGGCCTCCATCTTCCATTAGCCTTGATGTACCTCGATCTTCATCCTCGTCAGGAGTTACTAAATTCCTCCTACGGAAATAAGTATAAAAAAATTTTTTTGTACTATTACCTCTACTCCATCTTGCCATTACATAATATGAGCAGAATAAGATTTTTGGTAAAATTATGTTATTCTAGCTGTGAAATTTTCCATTATCAACACTTGGTATTCATTGTTTTCACGACTGATTTTTCTTATATAATCTTAAAGTCATGGTGTGAATTCAGTTTTCCTAAAAACTGAATGAATTGGGGCTTTTTTTTGTTTGTCTTATGGTTCTAAGATTATATTTTTATTTTATGTGTATGAGTGTATTGTGAATGAATTGTTTTGACTTGAATACACGATATTTAGAGGAATTTCTTGCGTTTGTTAATTATACTTAGTTTGCAAACATTTTTTAGGAGAAGAAATCACATTATAAAGGAAGCCAAATCAAGTCACCTATGCAATGACATAAATTTAGTCAATATAAACTGAAGAGAGAACTCAGCAGTAGTGGGAATTCTTTTTGTTTACCTGGACATAAAGAATGAATATTTCTTCCTGCAATTGGTATTTGAAAATATGTTGGTGCCCAAAATTGGATCTATCCCTTTCCCCTACCTCAAATAGTTTGGCTTACCTGCAAATGATTGAGAACGTTGAATTAAAGTGATTGATTAATTGATGAGGTTTTCAAAAACGTGGGTTAAGAGAGAGTGAAATTCCCCAGAAGGTGAGGATCTTTCTTGGTCCTATTAAGTTAGTGCTAGTAAATACCTAGTGAGTTGTAGAAGGAATGAGCACCATAGAGGAAGACAGCTGTTTCTAAGAATGGTAACTGATTTGTGGTTAAGTAGGTGGGGGATTAGTGAGGAGAAGTACTAAAAGCCAAGCTTGATTGAGTGGTTCTGAGACTTCTGTACAAGGTAGTATTTTTTAAAGTCCTGTCATTTGGTATAATAACTAAGAATGTTAGCTTTCAAGAGTGTTCACAGTTAAATGAAATATTGAAACAAGAAATGGGATGATGATTTGTCTTGAAATTTTCTGTAGAAGATAAGAACCATACAGGAATGGCGGCCACATCTTATTTCCAAAAGACACTGCCAGGGAAATTATTTGAACTCAGTACTGGGAGGAAACTGGTAACTGTCAAGACCATGAAGTTTGAATTGCTGTATGCCTTTTTATTGGTTAGCTTTGTGAAAAATAAAGTTAAACTTCCTTATGTATTACCGACATTAGAAACAGAAGCCAGACTACTAAGATTCAGATTTTGGCATCCTCTGTAATTATCAGTGTGACCTTGTCAAGTGTCTTAGTTTTTTTGTCTGATTCTGAGAATGAAATGTGTTGGTACAATGAGCTCTCAGAACTGGACCTAGATCTTACTGAATCTCCATAAATAATTGTTATTCTCATCAGTATTGTTACCACTCTTGATTATTTTAGAAAACTATAAGAAACAAAGTAAAATCTCCAATTTTGGGACTATACAATAACTTCTATAAACCCTTTGATGTATTTCCATCTTACACATTTTTTAAAAATTTATTTGATTTTTTACAAAAATCAAATAAATTTTGGGAGCCAGGCTTCATGGTACACACCTTTAATCCCAGCCTAATCTCTGTAGAGAGTTAGAGAGACCCAGTCACACCACAAAAAGAAATACTGCAGTGAACATCCTTGTACATAAAACAATCACTGCATTTTAGATTGTTTCATTAAGATACTGGGCCAAAGTATGTGATCATCCAAAATTCCTAATCCATATTGCCGAATTGCTTTTGCTTAAGAATTTCTTGGTGGTGGTTTATTCTTGTTGTTTGTGTGGTGTTAAGAATTGAACCCAGGACTTCATGCAGGCTACACGGGTGCTCTACCACTACCACTGAGCTTTTTAAAATTTTTTTATTGAGACAGGATCTCACTAAGTTGTCCAGAATGGCCTTGAAACCACTCTTGCCCAGGCAGCTCTTAAACTCCTTAAATTTACATCAGCATATGAGTTGCTGGGATTACAGGCTTCTGCCTTCAGGCCTGGTAGGGGTTTTTTTGTTTTGTTTTTTGTTTTTATATTTTATTATTTTTCATGCGTATGACTGTATTGCCTGCATGTATGTGAGTGCACCCATGTCATGCAATGCCTGAGAGGTCAGAAGAGGGCTTCCTATTCCCCTGGACCTGGAGTTAAGGACAGTTCGTAGCCGCCATATGGGTACTGGGAATCGAACCTGGGTCCTCTGCAAGAGCAGTCAGTGCTCTTAACCGCTGAGCCATCTCTCTAGCCCCTTGTTTTGTTTTTAAGATAGACTTGCTGTGCTGCCTAGATTCTCCATTTTCCTGCCACTATTTTCCCAATGCTGAGATTATAGATGTTCACTACCAGGCATGCTTAAGGGAACTTAATAATAATGCTAAAATACATGGGAGCAACATAATATTTATTTTCCTACTGATATGAAGTAAAAGGGGAGAAAGATGAGTGAACACCTTTCTTATAGTATGTCAGACATTGTAGCCATTGTTATATACTATTGCTTCACATGCATTCTCATCTTCATAATCTTGTATTATACATGGAAGTTACTTCCCTTTTACTGATGGGAGAAGATAGATACGTATTTTGCACAAGGCTAAATATGCAAAACTGGTCTGAATCTAGGTCTGCCTAAATAAAAGATCCATATTCTATTACTTGAACATTTTTATGACTATATTTTCAAATTTTTAAATATGTGTCTAACTATAGACTGTAGGCCACATTATTAAAATAGTTACTGAGCTGGACATAATGAATGAGCAGGTTACACAGTTAAACCAGATAGAGCTTAACTTTCCATATACATTTTAGAAAAGGAAAAAAAAAATCCTTACCTGGCTGAGATGTAATTGGTAATGTATCTATAAAGCTGGATTCTAAATGAATGCAGCAAGCATTCATGGGCTCAACATTCTTAGTAATGATCTCAACACAAATGGGGAAGGGAAAAACCAAAGAAATCACAACTTTGATGAAATTTAGTTAAAACTAAGAAAAGTTTAAAGGGCCATTTAGTAATTAAATTTAAAAAATACACTTGATAAAGCCTATTACTGGTGAAGTAAATGAGAGTCTTACTGGAAAATAGGTGAAAAGTAGAACTGTTTAACATAAGGAGAATAGAAGATTTTATGCTGAAAATTAAAGCCAAAACAACAACGAAAAACCATATACCCACTTGAGTTACATTTTACATTGACTCTGAGTTCAAGGGCCAGCCTGGTCTCCATAGTGAATCCAGGCCAGCTGTGACTACAGGGAGACCCTGTCTCAAAAATACCAAAAACAAAAAAAAAATTAATGTTACCTATTTTGTGGGCCATACCTATCCTGCCATTGTAGTGCAAAGCAGTCCCAGACAGT